AAATTGTATTATACTGCAGAGGAAGGGCAGGGGTAGGGGGAAGACTTGGTAACATACTGGGTAGAGTGGGGGCAGGGTAGGGGAAAGACTTGTAATATACCTGATAGAGTGGCGGGGGGGTAGGGGTAGGGCAAAACATGTATTATACTGCAGAGGCAGGGGGGTAGGGTAGGGGCAGGGTAAACTTGTATTATACTGCAGAGGGCAGGGGGAGGGGTAGGGGGAAGATTTGTATTATACTGGGTAGAGGGCAGGGGCAGGGGTAGGGGAAGACTTGTATTATACTGGGATAGAGTGCAGGGGCAGGGGTAGGGTAGAGGAAGACTTGTTTATACTCGACAGGAGGCAGGGGGAGGGTAGGGGTAAAGACTTGTTTTATACTGATAGAGTGGCAGGGGTAGTAGGGGTAAAACTATATTATACTGGGTAGAGTGGCAGGGGGTAGGGGTAGGGGGGAAGACTTGTACTATACTGACAGAGTGGCAGGGGGTAGGGGTAGGGGTAAAACGTATTTATACTGCAGAGGACAGGGGGCAGGGGTAGGGGGGAAGACTTGCATTATACTGTAGAGTGGCAAGGGGCAGGGGGTAGGGGAAGACTTGATTATACTGATAGAGGACAGGGGTAGGGGTAGGGGAAGACTTGTATTATACTGGGTAGAGTGACAGGGGCAGGGGTAGGGGAGGAAACTTATTATACTGCAGAGGCAGGGGGCAGGGTAGGGAAGACTTGCATTATACCTGGGTGAGAGTGACAGGGGCAGGGGTAGGGCAGGGGTAAAACTTGTATTATACCGAGGAGTGCAGGGGCAGGGCAGGGGTAGATGGAAGACTAGTTTTATACTGACAGAGTGGCAGGGGGTAGGGGAGGAAGACTGTATACTGATAGACTGGCAGGGGTAGGGGTAGGGGCAGAGGAAGACTTGATTATACTGACAGAGTGGCAGGGGTAGGGGTAAAAACTTGCATAGACTGGGTAGAGTAGAAGGGGCAGGGTAGGGGTAGGGGTAGGGTAGGGGTAGAGGAGGGCAGGGTAGGGGTAGGGCAGGGGTAGGGTAGGGTGGGGCAGGGCAGGGCAGTGGGGCAGGGTAGGGGTAGGGTAGAGGAGGGGCAGTAGGGGTAGGGCAGGTAGGGGTAGGTAGGGCAGGTAGGGCAGGGGTAGGGGTAGGGTAGAGGCAGGGTAGGTAGGGGCAGGGCAGGGGTAGGAGGGAGGGGCAGGTAGGGGCAGGGGTAGGGGTAGGGGTAGAGGAGGGCAGGGTAGGGTAGGGTAGAGGAGGGGCAGGTAGGGCAGGGCAGGGGTAGGGGTAGGGGTAGAGGAGGGCAGGCAGGGGTAGGGGCAGGCAGGGGTAGGGGTAGGGCAGGCAGGCAGGCAGGGTAGGGGTAGGAGGAGGGCAGGGGTAGGGTAGGGCAGGGGCAGGGTAGGGGTAGAGGAGGGCAGGGGGGGTAGGTAGGGGTAGGGGTGGGAGGAGGGGTAGGTAGGGCAGGGCAGGGGTAGGGGTAGAGGAGGGCAGGGTAGGGGTAGGCAGGGTAGGGTAGGGGCAGGGTAGGGGCAGGGTAGGGCAGGTAGGTAGGGAGGCAGGGGTAGGGTAGGGCAGGGTAGGTAGGGTAGGCAGGGCAGGGCAGGGCAGGGCAGGGTAGGTAGGGCAGAGGATGGGCAGGGTAGGGTAGGGCAGGGGTAGGCAGAGGAGGGCAGGGGGGTAGGGCAGGCAGGGTAGGGGTAGGGTAGAGGAGGGGTAGGAGGGCAGGGGTAGGGGCAGGGGTAGGGGTAGGGGGTAGAGGGAGGGGCAGGGGTGGGGTAGGGGTAGGGGTAGGGCAGGAGGAGGTAGGGGTAGGGTAGGGCAGGGGGTAGGGGAGGGGCAGGCAGGGTAGAGGAGGCAGGGCAGGGTAGAGGAGGGCAGGCAGGGCAGGGCAGGGGTAGGGGTAGGGGTAGAGGAGGGCAGGGGTAGAGGAGGCAGGGGTAGGGTAGGGCAGGGTAGGGTAGGGTAGGGCAGGCAGGGGTAGGGTAGAGGGAGGGCAGGGGTAGGGTAGAGGAGGCAGGTAGGGCAGGGGTAGGGTAGGGTAGGCAGAGGAGGGCAGGGGTAGGTAGGGTAGGGGCAGGGTAGAGGAGGGTAGGGTAGGGTAGGGCAGGGTAGGGGTGCAGGCAGGGGCAGGGCAGGGCAGGTAGGGTAGGTGGAGAGGAGGGCAGGCAGGGGTAGGGGCAGGGGCAGGGGTAGGGTAGAGGAGGGCAGGGTAGGGGTAGGAGGAGGGCAGGTAGGGGCAGGGTAGGGGTAGGGCAGGGTAGGCAGGGTAGGGCAGGGCAGGGTAGGGGTGAGGAGGCAGGGTGGGGTAGGGTGGGTAGGGTGGGGTAGGGCAGGGGCAGGGGGTAGGGGTAGAGGAGGGCAGGGTAGGGGCAGGGCAGGGGTAGGGTAGAGGAGGGCAGGTAGGGGTAGAGGAGGGGCAGGTGTAGGGGTAGGAGGAGGGCAGGGTGGGGTAGGGCAGTGGGTAGGGCAGGGAGGGCAGGTAGGGCAGGGCAGGGCAGGGCAGGGTAGGGGTAGAGAGGGCAGGGTAGGGTGGGTAGGTGGGGTAGGGCAGGGCAGGGGTAGGGTAGAGGAGGGGCAGGCAGGGGTAGGGCAGGTAGGGTAGGGTAGAGGAGGCAGGGTAGGGCAGGGGTAGGGTAGGGGTGCAGGAGGAGGGTGGGTAGGGTAGGGTAGAGGAGTGGCAGGTGGGTAGGGCAGGGCAGGGTGGGTAGGGAAGAGGAGGGCAGGGTAGGGCAGGGCAGGGTAGGGTAGGCAAGAGGTAGGGGCAGGGCAGGGGTGGGTAGGGGTAGGGCAGAGGAGGGCAGGGTGGGGTAGGGCAGGGGCAGGGGCAGGGGTAGGGCAGGGGCAGGGCAGGCAGGGCAGGGGTAGGCAGGGGAAGGGTAGGGCAGGGGTAGGGAGGAGGGCAGGGGCAGGGGCAGGGTAGGGGTAGGGCAGGGGTAGGCAGGGTAGGGGCAGGGTAGGGTAGGGCAGAGGAGGGCAGGGTAGGGTAGGGCAGGGGCAGGTAGGGCAGAGGAGGGGGGTGGGGGTGAGAGGAGGGCAGGGGTGGGGTAGGGGTAGGGGCAGGGCAGAGGAGGGGCAGGTAGGGCAGGGCAGGTTGGGTAGAGAGGAGCAGGGTGGGGTAGGGGTAGGCAGGGGTAGGGGCAGGCAGTAGGGGCACAGGGCAGGTAGGTAGGGCAGGCAGGGGTAGGGTAGAGGGAGGAGGGGCAGGGTAGGGCAGGGCAGGGCAGGAGTAGAGTAGAGCAGGGTAGGGTAGGGTAGGGTAGGTAGGGGTAGGGGTAGGTTAGGAGGGAGGGCAGGGTAGGGGCAGGGCAGGGCAGGGAGAGGAGGGCAGGGTAGGGTAGGTAGGGCAGGGGTAGGGGTAGATCAGGGGCAGGGCAGGGTAGGGGCAGGGTAGGGTAGGGCAGAGGGAGGGCAGGTAGGGCAGGCAGGGTAGGGTAGAGGAGGGCAGGCCTGGGTAGGGGCAGGTAGGGTAAGGGGTAGAGGAGGGCAGGGAAGGGCAGGGCAGTGGGTAGGGAAGTAGAGGCACACCCTCATTCTTTAAGTCTGCCGCTGACAACAGAGTACACAAACACACACCCAAATAATCATAAAAACGGCAGGTAGCGCAGCAACACTGCTTAACAAGCATCAGCAACAGCGTTAACGGGAAGACCACCACCAGCAGCAACAACGGTTGACAACAGAGAACAACAATGCCAGAAGTGTTAACAAAGAATTATAATCAAGGTTATATAAATGACAGAGCAGCAAAAAGTTACAGTTAGCACAGTGCAAAAGGTTTGTTAACAGGAAGAAACACCTCTGTTGTAAGACACCAGCGACAAAACAGCAGGACCAAAGTGTATATACTGTATGTAAAGTGAGAGCAGCGGCGGTAGTCACGGGAGAAGAGAGTCCGCACAAGAGACAAGAGAATAACTTACTGCTGGGGGAGGTAGAATGAAAAGCCGCATCCCCAAAGTAGAAAAGTAGTGGTAGTAGTAGTGGCACAACAGCCACCAGCAGATGGAGGAGGGCGGCGGGGAGTGAGTGAAGAGCCACAACAACACCACCACACCACCACATGAGAGTCGAACCGGGGGTTCTCACCTCCCGTGTCGACTACGTGTCAACCGCCAGCAGGCATACGTAGTAAGGGGAGGGGGCCGAGGCAGTATTAAAAATAGTAGGTGAATAAATTAGTTGGAGCATAACTGGGTGCTGTTATGATTGTTATTTTAGATGATTAATTAACACAAGCATGTTGCCACTTACTGATAACGTAAGCCACTGTTAATATCATAGAGCTAACCTTAACCTTTTCCACGTAAAGAAATATTATTTGTTAATTTTAGAATTTGTGCCGAGGCAAATACGTCCTGCTAGGTTAATTTGAGTTTAAGCGTCATCTCCTAAAAACAAAAACATACTTAATTAATTTGTTAATTTTGACGTCTCTTCCACTCCTTGCCAGACGAGGCAATGGGTGAATGTTAATGTAACTCCTTGTTGTTGTCTTTGTCTTCAGGGTTGGGGGGCGCTACGTGCCAACCACCACTCAAGTGCACCAGCAACACCGAGCGGTTACGAGGAAGCACAGCAAGACAGTGGGGGATTATAAACAAATCAGAGAAACATAACAAAAAAGCAGCAGGAAAAATATATAATAAAACAAACTAAAAGCAAGCAGACAAACACCTTCACACACACACACACACACACACACACACACACACACACACACACACACACACACACACACCCAGAAAAAATCAAATGACTACACAACCTCGACGTTATTGGTTAACATATCAAAAACAGTAACATGATATATGTTAAAATTAAACCATTGGATTATGCCCGTAAATAAAACAAAAATATATATATATACTTATTAATATGCCAGTAAACACATATAAATATAGAGTTATTATACATATATGTACTGTATATAGTTATTCAACAGTTAATACATATTATTATTATAAAGGTTCAAACTTCGCCAGCACTCAAGAGGGTGCGGGGTCAAGGTGGGTTGGGAGGGAGAGTTGCTTTAGGCCCGGGATCCTTGGTGTACGTCGGCTAGGAAAACAAACAACGAATGAAATTTATAGAATAACGTAGACATAGAAACAAATAACTAGAAATAATTATATAAAAAATAAGATAGAAGTGAAAGAAGAAAGAAAGATCGAAATATATAACAACAAGGAAAGTTAAATATTAAATGGTGATATGGAAATAAATAAAATATCATAGAAAATAAAATACAGATTCAATAAAAAACATATCTAACGAAATGAAAATATAAATACTAATAAATAAAAATAATAATACTAAGGAAAAAATACATAACGACAGAAAATACAAAAATAAAGCGAAACATTGAAAAGAAATCAACACTGACTCACTATCGTCCTGGGATTAATATATACAAGCCATATCAATATTTATATATCTCTGTACTGTATAGGAAAAAACCCCATATATACGAGTAATTTATTTAATTACTGGCTTAATAAAAAAAGTTACACTAAATTAAACTTAATTTTTTCTGTAACTTGAATTCGAATTGAATTGAAACAGTTTATTTAGCCTCAGAAAAACACAGATACAGAGTGGATAATAATAAATACATTTAAACATGGCTGAGCCATGGAGAACCTGAGCTGCACCTGGATATATACTATACATTTATCTCAAGGAAGTATTATGTAACATTTAGTATCATCTGGAATAGGGCATAATAACATGGTGGTAATAAGAAATATGTTACCACTATATCACTTCAATATTTATTTATTTTATTATTTATTATTTAGCATTTTTATTTATTTTTTTATTTTTATTATTATTGTGCTTATTTATTTATACATACACACACACACACACACACACACACACACACACACACACACACATATATATACAGCATATATATACAAAAGCACTTAGCACTTTACAGAAACACGTAACACTACTCAAATGTACTAAACTGTATCAAACTGTATTCTAAGCATACTTAACACTACTACATGAGACTCAATGAACAATCTCATCACACTATACTGTACTTCACTGTTAACACTTATCCAAGACACTGAATCGCTCCCCACAGACTACAAAAAACTGTAACTACACTGAACCTAACTGTATTACATCAGTACACTGGAATTGGACTGACAACACCCAATGAAAGCAAGTTGCTGTCGTTTCTATATGAACAGTTGAGGAGAGAGAGAGAGAGAGAGAGAGAGAGAGAGAGAGAGAGAGAGAGAGAGAGAGAGAGAGAGAGTACACACACACACACTCCTGGGTGAAAGATCTCTGGTGGCTCCCAACCTTCTGTCTCCCACACTTCCTTTCATCTCACATTTACCTAAAGGAGGAGGCAGCGAGATAATTAATAACCATTTTGCTACCGATATGACCCTTACCCAGTCTTGACCTCACTCTCCTCCCGGCTTACTTACCTTCCTCCTCCCAGTGTTCAACCACATGAAATCGCCAACAAACCCTCAAATTTAAATCCAAATCCACGACCCCAATTGACCTCCAATCAAAATATACAAGGAGTTGCAGTCGAACTTGCCACCTCTGTTCTATTATTAATGCATCCTCAGACAAAGCAAATGCCCTAAAGAATGGAAACCGCATTTGTCACCCCCATCCCCAAGGTCCCCACCCCAGTCCCCTAACGACCCAGGCCAGCTGCCATTACCCCCATACCCAGTCTACTTTGTGAGGACTTTGTTTTTGAGGCATTTGCCAGAATCTATCAGTCAATTGATCCACAGACAACTTGGCAATATATGATGTCCTCCTCCATCACACTGCTTGGTGAGCTTCCTGGATTTTCTGCACAAACTTGCAGAAATAAGACATCACTGGCCGTTGCCCTGTTGACTTCAGGAAGGCCTTTGACCTTGTGATCACTGCATTACAACAAGGCCATTGCACTAGGCTGCCCACCAACCTGGTCTCACGGCTCACTGATTTCTTGAGTGGACGTCACAGTGAGGTATCAGGCTCGGTCTCCACATTCCCAGGAACCAAGATGGACCACTGTGCTACCTCATCCTGATCAACGATGCTCTATCTGACATTTCTACAGGTGGAAGTATGTGATGACTGCACTGTGGGGTTTCAGGACAACACCGCACCAGACTACTCTAGCTCACAAGGCACCCTGACAGGCTACAGGCATGGACTACGGAGAACAAGGTCACCATCAACCACACCAAAACCGTAGTCATGCACATCAATACTGCCACCACTCCAGTGTGCGCCCCAGCAGTCACAGTGGGTGCCCATCTCCAGCTGGTGCAGTCTGCCAAATTCCTGGGTGTAACTATAGATAAAAAGTTGACTGGAAGGCCCATGTATACAACACAGTCAAGGCAGCCTCGTACCGTCTCTCTACATACACGACAACTTAGGTCACTTGGGACACCCACGCCAGAGCTGAGGACTATCTACAACGCCTTTATTCTCCCCAAACTAACGTATGCGTCACCAGCCTGGTCACCTTCTCACTCAACTCCAACGTCAGCTAGAGAAGGTACAGGAAAAGGCCTGCAGAATCATGCTCGGTGCAGAATACTCAGCTACACCAACGCTCTCTCCACCCTGGAAATGCCATCCTCAGTGACCTCACCACCAAGCACTGGACTACTCCTCCTAAACCACTCCCAGAACCTTCTACTCTCCCTAAACCACCCCAGAACTTACTCCTCCTAAACCACTCCAAGAACCTCCTACCCTCCCTAAACCACTCCCAGAACCTTCTACTCCCCCTAAACCACTCCAAGAACTTCCCACTCCTCCTAAACCACTCCCAGAACCTTCTTACCTCCTCAAACCACTGCAAGAACCTCCTACTCCTCCCTAAACCACCCCCAAAACTTCCCCACCCTCCCTAAACCACTCCAAGAACTTCCTACTCCTCCCTAAACCAACTCCCCAGAACCTTCTACCTCTCCCTAAACCACTACAAGAACTTCCTACTCCTCCCCAAACCACTGCAAGAACTTCCTACCCTCCTAAACCACCTGCAAGAACTTCCTACTCCTCCCTAAACCACTACAAGAACTTCCTACTCCTCCCTAAACCACTACAAGAACTTCCTACCTCCCTAAACCACTGCAAGAACTTCCCTACTCCCCTAAACCACTACAAGAACTTCCTACTCCTCCCTAAACCACTGCAAGAACTTCCTTCTCCCTAAAACCACTCCCAGAACCTTCTACCTCCCAAACCACTCCAAGAACTTCCTACTCCTCCCTAAACCACTCCCAGAAAACCTTCTACTCCTCCCTAAACCACTGCAAGAACCTTACTCCCTAAACCACTCCCAAAACTTCCTACCCTCCCAAACCACTCCAAGAACTTCCTACTCCCTCCCTAAACCACCCCCAGAACCTCTCACCTCTCCCCCTAAACCACTACAAGAACTTCCTACTCTTCCCTAAACCACTCCCCAGAACCTTCTACCTCCCTAAACCACTACAAGAACTTCCCTACTCCTCCCAACCACTCCCAGGACCTTCACCTCCCCTAAACCACTAAAGAACTTCCCTACTCCTTCCTAAACCACTCCCAAACCTACCTCTCCCCTAAACCACCCCAGAACTCCTACTCCTCCCTAAACCACTCCCAGAACCTTCTACCCCTCCCCAACCACTACAAGAACCTTCTACTCCTCCCTAAACCACTCCCCAGAACCTTCTACCCTCCCTAAACCACTAAGAACCCCTACTCCTCCTAAACCCTCCCCAGAACCTTCTACCCTCCTAAACCACTACAAGAACTTCCTACTCCTCCCTAAACCACTGCAAGAACTTCCTACTCCTCCCTAAACCACCCCAGAACCTTTCTACCTCCCTAACCACTACAAGAACTTCCCTACTCCTCCCTAAACCACTCCAAGAACTTCCTACCTCCCTAACCACCCAGAACCTTCTACCTCTCCTTAAACCACTACAAGAACCTTTCACCTCCTCAAACCACTCCCAGGAACCTTCACCTCTCCCTAAACCACTACAAGAAACCTCTCCTACTCCTTCCTAAACCACTCCCCAGAACCCTACCTCCCTAAACCACTCCCAGAACTTCCACTCCTCCCTAAACCACCCCAGAACCTTCTACCCCTCCCTAAACCACTACAAGAACCTTTACCTCCCCTAAACCACTCCCAGAACCTTCTACCCCTCCCTAAACCACTACAAGAACTTACCTCCCTAAACCACTCCCCAGACCTTCCTACTCCTCCCTAAACCACTCCCAGAACCTTCTACTCCTCCCTAAACCACTACAAGAACTTCCTACTCCTCCCTAAACCACTCCCAGAACCTCCTCTACTCCTCCCTAAACCACTACAAGAACTTCCTACTCCTCCCTAAACCACTCCCAGAACCTTCTACCCCTCCCTAAACCACTACAAGAACTTCCTACTCCTCCTAAACCACTCCCAGAACCTTCTACCCTCCCTAAACCACTACAAGAACTTCCTACCTCCTAAACCACTCCCAGACCTTCCTACTCCTCCCTAAACCACTCCCAGAACCTTCTACCCTCCCTAAACCACTACAAGAACTTCCTACTCCTCCCTAAACCACTCCCAGACCTTCCTACCTCCTTGCCACTCCCAGACCTTCCTCTCCTCCCTAGCCACTCCCAGAACCTTCTACCTCTCCCTTAAGCCACTCCCAGAACCTTCTACCTCTCCCTAGCCACCCCAGAACCTTCTACCTCTCCCTAAGCCACTCTCATCGTTCCCCAATTCCCTAATCCCCATATACCCCCCGTAACGCCCCCCTCCCTCTCCTCACACGCTCCCAACGTCCCTCCCCTCACTCACTTCCCTAAATCAAGCTTTTAAAAAACAAACCAGCCGCCACTTACGCCAAGAGGGGTGAGGGAGGTGATTTTCTTCTCATTAAACTGAAGAAGTCTCTCTATCTCCTCGTCAGGGTGGGTAAGGCAGGAGGTGTCGGTGGACGAGGCGTGGGAAGAGGCGACCGAATCCCTGCCGGAAGTCCTGCCCAAGGTGCCACCAACCAGAGGGGAGGGGGACCCACTCTTCTGCCCCAACACACCTTCTTCCACCCCACATGACGTTGGCTCGTCTGAAACACGAAGACACACGTTAGGAGAACATTGGAACGAGAATAATAATAATAATAATAATAATAATCGATACAAAACAGACACCATTTAATCATAAAAAAATAATATATATATATATATATATATATATATATATATATATATATATATATATATATATATATATATATATATATATATATATATATTCCATACTGCTTAAGAACAACATTAATAATACACAATAAAATAATAAAATAATGATATAAAATAACCACAAAAAATAACTTTGATCCAAATTGTTACAAAATACTGAAGAAAAAATCGTTATTCAGGTACAAAAATATTAATATAATACTCGCAAAATGAATATAAAGAAATGATTTTATTTACCTCAATAGATCAATTAAACCTTAACCTAACCTAACCTTTCGTAACCTAACTGAAGTATATTGACATTGACCTAGAGAGAGAGAGAGAGAGAGAGAGAGAGAGAGAGATAAACTAGAGAAAGAAAGAGAATCATGGGGACAGCTGGGAAATTACTAATAATAATAATAATTAATGGTTTATTGAAAGAGCTTGGCAGCCAGAAGGCTGAAAATATACAGTTACATAATTCGGGAATGGGTTTCGAATTACAAATAATATACAAATAAGCGGCGGGGGGGGGGGGGATCGCTAGGTGAACAGGTGAACTCTCAACATAAGAACATAAGAATGGAGGAAACTGCAGCTGGCCTATTGACCCATACTGGGCAGTCCCGTTTACACCCAATCCCTATTGCTCATATAAGCATCCAACCTATGTTTGAAGCTATCCACCGTATTCGAGTTAATGATGATATTTGGTAACTTGTTCCATTCATCCACTACTCTGTTTCCAAACCAGTGTTTACCTATTTCACGCCGAAATCTAAATTTGTCTAATTTAAAACCATTGTTACGAGTTCGCTCCTGGTTGGATAGTTTGAGTACCTTTGTAATGTCCCCTTTGTTTAACCCAGACTTCCATTTATACACCTCTATCATGTCGCCCCTCGCTCTACGTCTCTCGAGGGAGTGCAAATTAAAATGCTTTACCCTGTCTCTGTATTCAAGGTTCCCAATGCCCGGGATTAGTCTTGTCATTCTCCTCTGGATTCTTTCCAAGGATTCTATATCCATTCTGTAATACGGTGACCAGAACTGAACTGCGTAATCCAGGTGAGGTCTCACAAGCGCTAGATATAATTTTAAGATGACCTCGCTAGTCTTGTAACTAACACTCCTTTGTATGAACCCAAGTACTTTATTAGCCTTGTTACGAGCAAAAACACATTGTTTACTTGACTTAAGATTCCTACTTATCATTACTCCTAAATCTCTCTCGCAGTCGGATTTCTCTATGGCATCGTTGTTCATCTAGTAACTGGTTTCCCTGTTTACATCTCCTATACTGAGTACTTTACATTTGTCCACAGTGAATTTCATCTGCCATTTTTCCGACCATTCGAAAAATTTGTTTAGATCTTCCTGTAGTTTTGCGGAGTCCTCGTCAGATTTAATAACACGTCCTATTTTAGTGTCATCAGCAAATTTACTTATGTTGCTGTCTATGCCGATATCTATGTTGTTTCTGTATATAATAAATAATAACGGTCCAAGTACTGAGCCTTGGAGAACTCCACTAGTGACGATGCTCCAATGCGATTTAGTGCCGTTTATGGTCACTCGCTGTTTCCTGTCCTGTAACCACGCCCTAATCCATTTAAGGATGTCACCTTTGATGCCATGCGCTTCTACCTTTCTAATTAGTCTTTCGTGGGCGACTCTGTCGAAGGCTTTGCTAAAGTCGAGATATACCACATCATAATTGTGCCCCTCGTCCACCGATTCGAAAACTGATGAAAAGAATGTCAATAGATTAATCAGACATGAATGTCCGCTTGTGAAGCCATGCTGGGAATCATTGATCAATCGGTGCTTCTCCAGGTGATTTCGAATAGAGTTTGAAATGATTGCTTCCAGTAATTTGCCTACTATTGATGTTAGACTGATTGGGCGGTAATAAGAGGATAGTGATCTATCCCTCTTCTTGAAAATCGGTATTACATTCGCTATCCTCCAGGATTCTGGTACTAGACCTGTTTTTAAGGACATGTTAAACAACTTTGCTAAGGGCATACTAAGCTCTTCCTTACATTCCTTTAATACTCTGGCAAATATCTCATCGGGACCAGGTGACTTATTAGGCTTTAGTTTGTCTATTTGCTTACTAACATCGTTACTAGTCGGTGCCCCGGGTATCTGTTTAAATTTTCGGTGGTGAAAACTATTGAAAAATATTTATTCAAATTATTGCTCATTTCTCTGTCGTTATCAGTGAGCTCGCCGGAGTCTGACCGTATTGGTCCAATCTTTTCTCGTGTTTTAGTTTGATACATTTGGTAGAATCCTTTGGGGTTTGTCTTTGCCTCCCTTGCTATCCTTACCTCATTATTCCTCTTGGCTTTCCTTATCTCGGTTTTAACCCTCCTCGCCAATACCCTATAATAATCCCGGAGGTAAATTTCGCCACGATTTATCCTTCTACCTATAGCCTTCCTTTGGCCAATGATGTTCTTTAAATAATTATTTATCCACTTAGGGTCATTGTTGTCTGATCTGATTTTTTGTATGGTATGTTCTGCCTTTGTGCATTAAGTAACTCATTATTTAAATTGTCGTGGAACTCGGCAATCTCAGATCTCGTTATCAGGTCGGTGTCATCTGTCAGGTTCACGGCCAAGCGCGACACCCCCTCTGTCAGCTGCCTCTTTAAACTGTCAAAGTTTGCCCTTCTGAAATCTGGTACTTCAGTGGAATTTTCCTTATGTCTGCCCTGAAAATCTAACTGGAATCTAATTTCTTTGTGATCGCTGTTTGCAAGTTCGTTCCCTACCTAGACATTGCTAATAAGGTTTTCTCTGTTCAACAGAACTAAATCGAGTATATTATTACCCCGGGTGGGTTCGGTTATATGTTGACTTAGAAAACAGTCCTGGATCGTCTCGAGAAAATCCTCTGATTCTGAGTTACCTGTAAGGTCAGTCCAATCTACTTGGCCAAGGTTAAAGTCGCCTACTATACAGACTTTGTTGTGTATGGAAGCCCTGTGCATTTCATCCCAGATAAGTCGCTCATTGACGCTATCAAGATTGGGAGGTCTATATATTACTCCTGTGATTAATTTTTCCCTACCGTCGATTAATTCTATCCAAATTGTTTCTGTATTCCGCTCAGTTTTTATTTCCTTATTTATTTCACACTTCAGATTATCCCTGACATAGTTAGTCTCAAGTGAACAAGGTGAGAGGAGGGAAGGCTGGTGGGAGGGTCGGGGTGTTCTCGTCAAGCAGGTACCATAATGAACACCAGTGAGCACCATCTTCTCACCCCCTCCCCCTCCACACACACAGTTTCATCCCAAGGTAAATATGCTCAGTGTGGGTTAGTCAGGGGCTCACGGGGTATATTCCTACGGAGCTTAAGCTGGGATTAAGCCCCTCTCTCTCTCTCTCTCTCTCTCTCTCTCTCTCTCTTGTCTTATTTTATTGCTTCTTTACAGTGAGAAAAGATATGAGAGACAGAGCAGCCGCACTCTAATCACACCCTAATCGTCAGGTAGTTTAGCCAGCCAATCACAAGGAGGAAAGATGCGGCAGATAATATAAACGAATGTGTGGGTCGTCCTCGTTAGCTCTGATTAATAAGGTCACACACACACGGAGGAACCACCAGCGAGACAAGACGTGCCCTGATGGCGCTCCCAGTTTGAGCAGCCAGACCGAGTCTGTTTGGACCTCCCCCCCGCTATATCCCAACGCCCTACCAGCCTTACTACACCGGGATTTATTCAGCAAAACATTCAAGTGATCAGTGAACGATTGACTACCAAACAGTGTACCTATAGTGCACTCCAAGGAAAAGCACAAACACACAGCAGTGTAATATTGAGTGTGGCTGGATCTGACCTAACCTGACCTGAACCTCACGGCTTCACCTGACCTAACCTGAAGGATGGAGCCTACCTGCATTGCCCCAAGCTACTATCCTGGTCACGTGTACACACACCTGCCCAACCGCATCCAGCCCATACGAGCACGAACTGATTGTTATAAGAACGGCCCAGTCTCAACCATTGTAAAAGTTATCAACATCTAATTATTATATATCATATTTGTATCACTTATGTTACCTGTATATCATTTGTAAATCAAGACACCCATTCCCCAATTATGTAATTGCATATTTTCAGCCTTCCGACTGCCATGCTCTTTTAATAAACCGTTAATTATTATTATTATTATTATTATTATTATACACACAGACACACACACACACACACACAGCTCCTGACTTATATACTGTACAGCCCTGTAAATGTATTGAACGTATTTTATTATGTCAAAATCACATGTAAGTTTGTATATTTTCACCCACCGACTGCAACTCTATTAATAAACCGTTTATTATTATTATTATTATTATTATTATTATTATTATTATTATTACACACACACACACACACACCACAATGGCCAGGCCAACAAGTTCGGGCACACAGCCAAAATGGCGACGTAATTAGCCACCACAGCGTAATAAACCACCAAAAAAACAGGGCAGTAAATTAAACCAGTTTTTCCTTTCGAGGGTAGAGAAAAACCTCAAATAGCTTCCCACAGCTCATATTGAACAGATAAATCCACAGGTCATATTGAACAGCAAAGTCAGCTAAGACAGGGGATCCAAACTTCCCCAGCCACACCGGGTCGAACCATCAAGGCAGGTGTTTCGAAAGTCCAGTCAGTAATTCCCACCAGCGAGGAGGTTCAAAGGTCCAAGTCGAAGCTTCAATCGCACTCAGTCAAAAACCCCAACATGGGGATTCGAGGCTCCAATTACGTTGATTTGAACCATTTTGTCGAGTCTTTTAACTCTTTCCAAGCACCGAATCAGTATCGCTTCTTCCTCTTTCAAAGTTTTTCTCTCTCTGTAG